CACATGAATCTACTCTGAAAACGTTCACTTAATCCAATTATTTTTTGCACCAAATAAAACTATTTTATTCCAAATATATCCAAATCAATAGGAATTGTGAACTATTCGCCACTCGTTCTTCAGCTACTATCAATTGATCTGCCTATCAAATTTTCAATACTAAAATACTTTGCATTTCGAATATTTTTCACTTTTTTTTGTAGCTCACAATCATAATCAGAACTGTCTGCAAATTCAAAATTTCTTTTAGTCCCTTGCGTTTGATTATAGTAATTCCACTGTTGATATTTTGTTTTGCCGATATCTTCTAAATTATCTGTTAGTATAACTTCTTGTTCAGCTCTATGACTAAATGGTAGAGATTGTATCTTGAATATGGTTTCGCCATTTTTATTACTGTTGGAGTCTTTTGGAGATGGATTTTTTTCATCAAAATGATCTTGAAATAACTGCACATCTTTATTCGGTTTCAAGTTTGTAACTATAAAATTGTCATTACATTCTGTATCTGATAAATGAATATCGTTGATAGTTTCAGTATTATCATCCTCAACATTTATTTTTTGAAATGATGTATCTTTCGGAACGTTTTGATGGTATTGCTCATTTTGAGATTCACTGCCAAACATTTCAGATGTTAAACGCGATAGATGTTCACTAGTTGTTCGAAAAATTGATTTTTGATTGAAATTTAAAAATAAGTCATTTTTATTACTAACCGAATGAAAATCTATGTCGTTTATATTACTCGGGTTATTGCGTAGAACGTTAATATTGTGTCTTAATAAATCAATATTTGTAGGATTCACATAGAATGTACTCTTCATGGACGCATCACTGGCATTTGAACCACGTTGAAAGTTTGTATTGTGATTTTCTTTGATAATTGCCGAATCATTTGAAGTAGCTGCCGCCATTAAATCAAAGTTTTCTTGAAAACCATTTGATAAAAAGCTTCCAACATTGTTATCAATACTGAATTGAATCGGAAAAATTGGCACTGGCTTTCTTACCCAAAAAGGATTGAATGGTCCAAAAACTGACGCTGGAAATGGTAACGAATGATCAATTGTTGTACGTTTATAACGCTTTCGTCGACGTAAAAAGCTACCATTGTCGAACATATCCTCTGCTAATGGGTCCAAGGTCCAGAAATTACCCTTACCTGGGTTTCCTGGTTCTCGTGGAACTTTAATAAAACAATCATTTAAACTTAAATTATGTCGAATTGAATTTTGCCAAGCTGGAAACTTTTCTTTGTAGTATGGGAACCTGTAATACAAGTAAAATACGTTCAAGTTTAGTGACAATGAAATTTATAATTTTTTTCAATTTTTATAACTCAAAGCTATGAGGTTTTAGTAAATTCAGAATGAAAGGACCGAGTACGACGTTTTCCTTTTTGTCAAGCGAAATTAAACCGTTATACGGCGCTGATGTAAACGTGACTCTATGTCATTCCACAATAATACATTTTTTGGCTCGACAATATATAAGCTCTTCATTCAACATGCATAATTTTTGAATCGTCGAGTAAAAAAAAGAAACATCATAAAATATTCTTATGTATTTCATAAAAATTCTCTATATTTTAAATTTATTTGTTTAAAAGTAACCAAGGTAGTGACAGCTACTACGCGTACCAGTAGTGTTATCCAGCTGCTGGAGTCCAGCAGCCATTTTCCTTTTCAAAAAGCAACTTTGATTCATGATTTCTTTTTCAAAAACTTGAACATGTTCTTTTTAATTACTTTTTTTCTAATCGATAAAATTCGTTTTATTATTTATTTATTCACCGTCTGATCACAGACTGATTTTATCACAATTATTTACAATATCATTTGCATTGAAACACTACCCGATCGAATACCAGCCGCCAGTCTTTTCGACTTCGGAGCAGCAGATATCGACTGTGTCCATTGTATATTACTATAATATTCATAACACAATTTTTCTTACTTAGTCTATTTTACCGAATATTAAATAACAAATTGTCCAATTTAACAATACTATTTCTAAAAATGTGTCTCGATGCCGATTCCAAAAATGTTTCTCTTATTAAATTAAAATTCCTACACGCCACGTAAAATGGTTGACTATGTGCATATTCAGCTGTAAAAATTCGTACTCTAATAAGTTCTGTATTCCTCAAATTTCTTTGGTTTACGTTATATTGCTGTCTTGTGTATACAATCTTATCTTTAAGCGAACGCGACACTATTTTACCTAATAAGAGATCGTAAATTAAAAATATAGAGGCCATACTATACTCGCGTACTCCAACTTTGATCTGACTAGCGCAAAATATAACATTTTAGCCGATTCAATCGTGAACTTATTCTTTAATGTGCTTTTTACTACCGTCACTTGCTTTCTATATAGACTGTATATTTTTTTTGAGCTTCGCGTTCCCAGCGCCATCTCTACGTGCACCTGAAAATTAGAACAAAAAGTATGTGTAGAATGTTTGTATAATGCAAAACCATGTGTTGTGCAACGTCCTCGCAAATTATTTCGATGGCACAAACTGTGCAAAGTAATTTTAATTTATTTTCCATCACAAATTCACTAGATGCAAACAATAAATCGGTTTTTGTTCAGAGCGTAGAATGACAGATGTCACAAAAAATGATTCCATATTCAAACTTCGAATCAATCAATATTCTACACATACTTTTTGTTCTAATTTTCATGTGCACGTAGAGATGGCGCCATCATGCAGTTTTTGACATTATTTGCCATTGTAAGTAATGGTAGGCTTTTTATGAATCCCATTGCCCCGTTTTCCGGTTTAAAATAATATTTGTGCCGTATATCAATCAATCATTTTGTATATTTACTCTTATCTTTACTGTGTTATTTTGATACTTGTCCCTTGAATCTTTTCAATCATTGATATAGCAAATAAAAAAATTATTTTAATTGTACCAAAATTAATTAATTCACGATTATATATAATAATGAATGATATAAAATTGGTTATTTTCTATAGTTAAAAAAATTAACCCTTATGTTAGCGACTCCAGCAGCTCGATGTGCAGATAAATTCAGAATAGAATTATTTTATTTTATAAATTGGTTTTATGTTCCAATAACCGCTACTTTTATCTGTGTAAATAAAATAAATAACTTGAAATATCTATTTCATCTGCTGGAGTCGGACTATCCATTTCTACCAGATTCAAGAGAAAAATCAACATTCGTCAACATATATTAAGCTAGAGAAAATTATATTATTATTATGCATGTAAAGTTGTTTAAAATTATTTTAGCAACAAAAATTAATAAATCAATAACCCCTTGTCGTTGGTTGTCATAAACATAGATGCGTACTGAATTAGTTCGGTACGTTCATTAGACGTATTACAGGTGGCGCGTCGAACCGAAATAACTACGTATTTCACTGCTATGAAAATAACAATAATTTCCATAATTTTTTTTTCATAGATTGAACAAGAATCCAATGTAAATAAAAAAGGAAACTTAGTTGGAATTGTAGCATTTTGGTCCGCAATGACAGCATCTTCGTTTTGCTTCACTGTGATTGGCCAATCAAAACGAAGATGCTGTCATGGCGGACCAAAATGCTACAATGGAGACCAACTAAGTCTCTTTTTGTATTTTTACGGTAGGTTTCGCATTGTTATTTACATTGAATTCTTATTCAATTGATGGAACATTCTTTTTGAAATTATTGTGATTTTTAAACAAATTATTTTTTTAATAAAATGTTTAATGAAAAACATTAGAAAAATATTTTATGACATGTTTTTTTACTCAACGATTCAATAATTATGCATGTGTATGTATTTTGAATGAAGAGCTTATATTTATCAAGCCAAAAATGTATTATTGTGAAATGACAGAGTGACATTTACATCAGCGCCGTATATCGAATTAATTTCGCTTAGTAAAGGGGGAAATATTTTGACAGATAGTACTCGATCCTTTCACAAAAAAGTATTGATTCTGATTTCGAGATTTGATTTGAGAAAAAATGAGTCTTTTTTTAATTTGCTTTACATACGCATCATGTTTTATAACATATGTCCATAAAATCTTGAGAGTAAATTCAGACGTTCGCCATTTGAATAACAAACACACAATATTAATTTTTTTTTATTGGTATAAACCTTTATTCATGGGCTATCGAATAGCACATTTGCATTACACTCAATGGACCATTGTCTTCGATTTTTCTCAGTATGCGTCGAACCTTCAAAATTATGCTTTGGCGGACCGATTTGTCGATTTCTTCAACTTTCTCTCAATTCATCCAACCAATTGTTGCACGTTTTAAGTATTTTGGACCTTCGCCTATAACATACATCCAAAAACAGACTAGAAATAATTAATTTGGTGTCTTTTTGTGAAGTTAAAAAGATGGTCCTTTTTTCATGGAAATGATATTTTTTAAGAAGTGAGCCATTATTGTGGTTTTTTCTGCTTGCAAAGCACAATTTTGTCCTTAATCAGATAGTTCCCAACAAATTTTATCGATTTCACCAATAATTGGTTGATAATTGAGCAAGTAATGAAGGTTTAATCTTACATTTCAGCACTAAATTTTCGAATATTGGCTCTAAAACACCTTCCAAAGAAGATCCTACCATACAAACACCCCTTTATTGAAGTTCGGGTTGTCGACGTCTCTAGCCTTATATAGTTGTGCCCTAACATAATCAATGCAAAAGAAACCACTTGCACTTGATTCGTGGCTCAATTTGGAGACGAATGTTTCACCGTCCAAAATGATGAATTTTTCAGTGCAACATGCTATAGGGTGAAGTAAACACCCAATTTTTGACACACTTTGGAATTTTTTCGTAACTTATTTTGCTGTTTCCTAATGATCGTGTCTAAATCTATTGTTTTAGTTCAAATTTGGATGTGCTGTAACCATAAAAATCACCAAAAATCATTTTTTGCTTGACCAACCCGGTTTTCGGTACTTGATGACAATTTTGAAGGGTTTGAGCATTTAAATTAGGAATACGACCGGACATTTTGCTTTTTAGAGAATCTTTTTATTCATATTAAGTCCATGAAACACGATACATGCTCCGAAGACAGATTGGTTCATCTTTAGACACATGCAGAATTTGTTTTGAACTTAGCCGCCAAAACCATTTGAGACACTTTTTCGTAAATCCAATTTGTACGTCATCGCGAATGGATGGATTTCATCGAATTGAGTTTAATAGTAGTCCCGAGGTACTGATAAACGTGCCGTGTGCATTGGTTGATATTTTTGATTTTGTTTATGTAGCGCAATATACGCCTGAATTTACTCTCAAGACTTTATGGACATATGTTACTATACACACAGGGAAATAATGTATAGATTATCGGTAAAAATGATTTTTTTTCTTAAATCTATACAAAAGTTAAGATATCTTAACAAAAATTTATTTAAAAAAAAAAGAAATATTTTTTGCAATGTAAATGAATTATGCGATAAACATTGATCAAGCAGTGCCAAAATACATCATCTTACACACTTTTCTCTCTTCATGCAAAAGGACAACAACAATTATATGGCTACACTCGAACGGCGACTATTGAGAATGTAACCACTGCTTATGCAAACAACGCTGTTATTCGTATCTTACATGCTTCCACTGAACAGCAGAAATGGTGTCTGTGTAGTAGTTGACTTGTTACATTCACACGGCAGCAATACACAGACATCACTTCAGCTGATCAGTGGAAGCATGTAAGACTAAGACACGACAAAAATAGATCGAATGATCAAAAAATTGGCCCATCTTATAGAGCAAGGCCCGGGAAGTACGATAGGACCAAAAAACCCACATTAATCGTGATCATTTTCGAAAAAATCTCGAAATAGTGCTCAAAAACTGAAAAAATCAGTTTGGCGTCTCCAATTGTGGTCATGGCCGGCACATATCAAATCCAAATGATCTGAAAACGGTTCTATCTTGTAGAGAAAGATTCTGGGAACACGATAGAGGTGAAATTTTTTTGGATCAATTCGATCTGAACCTCGAAAAATCGTGCCAAATGTGAAATGGCCGATTTGGCGCCTAAACTTTCGGCATTGGCCGGCCCAAACCTGAATCTAATGATCCAAAAGGTATCCTATCTTGTAGAGACGGACTTGAGGAACACGATAGAGATAGGCAAACTAAAGGTAATGGAGCTACCTTTCATACAAAAAAAAATTACATTTGTAAAATTTGAGCCAAAAAATGGGTATAACTTTATGTTGATGGCTCTGGCCGGCCCGAACCAAAATGGAATGTTCTGAA